GGTTCAAACCCCGGGAGGGGGCAGCTGTGGCACCGCTGTCCCCAGGAGCCAATGGGATGGAGGAAGCAGCAGGGCATGCTGGGATAGCAAGGCAGGGGTGCAACGAGTGGAGCATGACACGGGGGGGCATGCGGCTGTTGCAGGCGCTGCGAGCAGGGCAGCAGCCGCTGGCCCAGTCCCACCCGGGGAAGCCCATGGGCTCTGGGTGCACCGTGGCGGCAGAGCCGGTGCTCGGGCAGGAGTGGGCACTGCATGTCAGGCGCGTAGCTCAGGCGGGGCCGCGGGGGGAGCCCTACACTGCGTCATGCGGCGGTCGTCGGCGCTGCGGAGCCGGGCGCCGTTGTGGAACCAGGCGATGGTGGGGTAGGGCAGCCCGGCCACCTGGCACTCCAGCACCGCCTCCTTGCCCTCCACCACGTCCAGGTCCTGCAGCGGCCGCAGGAAGTCGGGCATGGTGAAGCGCTCGGCCTCTGTCTCCACCTGCTCTGGCTCCTCAGGGATGGACGGCATCTTCTCCAGCTTGGAGCTGCAAGAGCCACGTGCCCACTGCTCAGCCAGGGCATGCGGCACCCCCGCATGGCTCCTCCAGTGCTGCCACCCTGTGCCAGTGGTACCTGGGGGGTGGGGGGAGACACCCAGGCAAGAGCAGCTCTCCTGGGCCCTGCTCCCGCCCCTGGAGGTGCCCGGCTCCAGGCAGGGGTGGAGGCACTGGCACCGAGGCCCAGCCTCAGCCGACAGTCCGGGGAGCAGGGCCAGGGCACAGCTGAAGCCGTCACCCCGCGCCGGAGCCGGGCGAGAACCCAGGAGCGCTGCATCAGTCCCACGAACCCTCGGAGCACGGTGCCTGTCCCCTCCATCGACACCTCCGGGCACCAGGCCTGGAGCTGGGGCCTGCTGTGCCCCCCAAGCCCCTCCTGCCCGTGGCCCTGGCACTCACGCGTGGGCGGTGGCAGCGGGATGTGGCTCCTCCACGTAGAGCTGGGCGGCGCTCTCAGCCTGGCCGTGGGCATTGCGAGCGCTGGCGGCGTAGCGCCCCTCGTCCTCGGCACCCACGTGCGCAATGAGCAGCGAGTGCAGCCCCCGGTCCCGCAGCACCCGCACATTCTCGCTCTCCTGCACCGGCAGCCCTGGGGGCAGAGAGCGTCAGTGCCACGCCGGAGCCACCGCCCGAGCACGAGGTCCCGGCACGAGGGCGGCCGCTCACCGAAATGGGTCCAGGTGACAGCAGGTGGCGGGTTGCCACTGATCTTGCAGTCGAAGCGGGCCGCGCGCCCCTCCACCACGGCCAGGTCCTCCAGCGGGCGGGTGAAGAGCCGGGGGCCGCACCGTCAGCCGGGCGCTGCACGTCAGCTCCTCTGCAACCAGGGCCCCGTGGTGGGGGTGAGCACCGGGACCTGGCCACGCCTGGCCCCATGGCCGTGCAGGGTGCCCTGCCTGCGTGCATGTGTGTGCAAGGTGCCAGGTTCCCTTGCACACGTGCAGGCATACCTGCCTGTGCACGCACACTACCCCATCCCCAGAGGCATCTATCTGGGGGGTCACGGTCTCCCCAATGCCAGGACCACGCAGCCTGGCGCAGAGCAGGAAGGGCCCTTACCCCCCCTGCCACACACATCCCCCACCCTGTACCTTTGGCGGTGCTGAGCTTGCAGGTGTAGACGCCGCTGTCGTCCTCGTGCACAGAGCTGAGCAGCAGCTTGCATTTGCGCCCGTCAAAGTGCATCTTGCACTGGAGCAGGGCAGGCTGCAGCAGGCGCCCCCCCCCGGGCACTCGAACAGCGCCCCCTCCCCCGCCCCGGCCACCACGTCCTGCAGCGGTGCCACGACGGCCAGCGCCGACCCGGCGGGGTGCGCTGGGGGGAGAGAGACACGTCAGAGGAGCGTGGGGGCAGGGCGGGAGAGGGGCAGCAGAGCCGGGGGGGCAGGAACAGACCACGCAGCGCTTTAGCAAACAGACTTTATTAGAGCTACAAAAAGGGCCACGCGAGACACCTCCCCGCCGCCGGGCCCGGTGCAGTGCATGGTGGGATAGTGGGCAGCTGACACTTGTGCTGTTCAGGGGAGGGGCTCGAGGCCCCTGGGGGGGCTGGGAGCTGCCGCCGGGTCTCCTGCCCCCTGCCCCGTGACCATGGGTGGGCGCCCCCGGCCCCTTGGCAGTGCGGAGAGGAGCAGAGCAGGACACGCAGACATGGACGTGGACAGACCGAGACACACAGCACCACGCAGCCAGCACGGCCCGGCCCCCGCCCACCACCCTGCTGCCCGCAAGACCCCGGCCCCCGTCCGGAGCCGGCGCGTCGGTGCTTTAGCCGTGGAGCCCAGCGTCCGGGACGAGGCGAGGCAGGGCTGGGCCGGGCCGGGCCGGGCCGGG